GGATATATTTTTTTCGTTATCGAATAAAAATCAGGTTACAATTGCATTGTTACTCCAGACGAAGCCGTCATCTTTTCATAACCGGTAATGCCCCTTTAGGTACAGCAACTGGTGACCTAGGTACTTTAGTGAATTTCTCGTTGATTTTCATAAGGGCTAAATCGTAAGTGGTCTGTGTTAGGGAGACATTTGTCACCGGCAATGTGGTTTCGACATGTACCAACTTTGTGAAGTACGCCGATAGCGTATCAGATTCTGTCATGGGGATCTGAAAAGCATACCAGTTGATCTCAAACAAGTCATGTCATTTTGGAAATTTTTCAGTCAGACTGGTTCTCCTTGAAATCCGAGTCATTAAGTTCTTTTTGAGGTTTAAGGAAAGGTCGAGGAACTGCCGTAGTCGGGAAGTGTGGGGTGGGCCCGCAGCAGAACTACGCTGTGTCCCTCCAAGGACTATGTACTTCCGGGGAAAGGATAGTTACTTTGGTGAGAGAGCGCAGGCGACAAGGTCCAGTCACCCCCACTCGTAATTTCCCATCATTTTCAAAAGCCATGAATTAATGAAGGGCAAATTTTGTCATGGAGAATGAGGATGCTTTTTCCCTCTGATGAAGAAGTATTTTTAGCGCTAGCACATTCGATGAGCGGGGTAGGCATCCCATCGCCCCTCCGTGCGGAAAACTGTCTCCAGACAGCTGCTACGCTCGCGTCCGTGCTTTATGTGGCCCATATACGCTTAAATGTACCCTTTGATGTCAAAGAAGGGGAATAATACCCTTTGATGTCAAAGAAGGGGAAATCTAGGGAAAACTGAGGTGCCTAGAGGTCTTCCAGGGGATCTCCCGTCCTTCCAGCATGTGTATATGAATTCATTTTTCAATGAGGACAAACTTCACCAGCTTCTTCAACCGACCTGCCACTTCAGGATTTCTTTCTCAGACTCAGGAGTGGGCATTGGCGTTGAATTCGGATACAGTTCATGAATAGAGTCAATCACCTTAAAAACTAATAACTGCATTCAGCAAGTGAACGCTTCATATCAACCTGAAATATCGATAGACCACACGGATCGCCCAGCTGTCGCTGGGCGCTCCTCCTTGTGTGACATGACCCGGCTTCGCCGGGCCATGCGGATTTGCCGCGTGCTAAGTTACGGATCGTTGACCAACCACACTGTTCAAAGGAATCTTCTGCATCAGCCAAGAACTGAAAAGCAGCGCTCGTTCCGTCAAGATGCAGAAGCAACAGCAGCGCCCGCCGCATCACAGAAGGAGGAGAGCCGGCCTTAGCCAGCGATCCGACTGGTACGTTCATAACCTACACGGGAATATTGCAGCCTGTTAGGATAGCCGCTGAAGCAGCCTATAATTTATGCATTCTGTCCTCTAAAGCGTCTTGCTTTGGAATGCACTCCCGCATTCAGCAGTGGAACGCGTTAAAATGGCCCTCACTAAGGTTGTTGATGGAAGATAATTGTGGTAAGAGTGATTAAGTCAATTGCTGCTGTTCATAACATCTCTGTAAACAAACCCCATGCATTTGGAATAGAGCTAGCTTAGCGGTCGTACATGATGTCGTTACTAATAAGCAGTGAGGAATGAGTTCTGTTGGAATCACTGAGATCGTTATACTTGAGTCATATCGATCGCATTGTTGTTGTGAGCGGTGAAGCGGATTTTCCCATGTTACCTTGTCACTTTTAGCTCCTATCACTTCCGTACCCGCCAATAACATTCCCGTCCCGTATCACTATCATATCACCCTATATCACCTCTCGGATCCGAGGTCCCACTGTTGCTGTGACCTGCGCTACGAATTTGATGACCCTCCCCTTCCGAGGCCCCTTATCGGATCTTATCAACTGTTATCACTTTCCCGCCAATAAAGTTCCCGTCCCACACTCTATGGACCTCTCTCCCACTGTTACTGTGACCTGCGCTAACGAATTTGATGACCCCTTCTAATGCCCATTATCAGATCTTATCAGCTGATATCACATCCTGTCACCTACCAATAATGTTTTCCCACCCCCTATTTCACTGCTCGGAACCAACGTCCCACTGCTGCTGTGGCCCGCACTATGGACTGGGTGACCATCCCCTTTGGACGCCTCTTATCGAATCTTATCAACTGATATCACATCCTGTCACCCAGGTGTTCCCGTCACACCCCCTCCATCACTTCCTGGAATCAACGTTTCTCTGCCACTGGGACAGGTGTTATGAATTTCGTGACACACCACTTAGCGGATTATGTATAGTAAGATGAGGTGGGAGAGGGGGCGATGAGGCAAAAGGGTTGCCCGCAAATTGTAAGCCAGCTTGGTTTCCTCAGTGCATGCGTAATGCACTTGATTTCCACATAGAAGTGTTATAAATGTGCTAATTCAGCATGAGACCGCATTCACACTTCACGATTAGAGTGATTCAGTCCAGCAATATGGAAATCGTGCAACTGCGAACGAACGTGCTCAACTCGCTAATCGTTGGGCCGCTGCAACTGCCTATCCAACCTTCGAATAGGATTGAAATGGCAGTTACATCATACCAACGATTAGCGATGGAGAATGGACGGTCGCAGTCGCACGACACTCACACTGCGTGATTGAATCGCTCGAGTCGCAAAGTATGAACGCCGCCTAATGCTTGTCCGTGCTATCTTATCCCTTCGTACTCATTTAAATCCATGTCGCTTGGCTTTAGAAGGGCATATAGCTTCTGCATAGTTTTATTAACGGATTTTCCACTCCTTCATCACGATAAATACATATGTTCGCTGTGGACGGTGGGGCGTTTCAGGGAAAGGAGGGGTTGGGGAAAGGAGTGCTTTAGCCCCTGTGTCGGCCTACAAGCTTCCCATAATTTCAACGCTCCGAGCATAGCGAGCGCCGTGCAAAACCCTAACTTCTTCGTGGAATGGCCCAGCGTTTCGCAGCTAACAGTCACTATAAAGAAGACTGTTACAGTACAGATTAGCTCGCTAACCTCCTAACGACTAAGGTCAGCCCTTAGATGGTGAAACTGCCTGTTGCTTTCCGCCAAAGAGATAGATACGACTCTTCTGCGCAGCCGCAGAGGTGTCAGAACTGAGGTCTTTGTGGGTGAGCGAGTGGTCCTACGACCTGCCGGGCACAAGGGGACGCACCCATTGGATAGAAAAAAGAAGAGCTTGAGTATTATAAAACCGTACCCTTTGCTTGGAATATTTGTCCGAGAGCTCCAGCTCAAGTGTACACAATCTCGTATGCCTGAAATGCATCCCATAGAAAATCGGTAAGAGGTTCATAAGAGAGAATGAGAAATTTTCCACTAGAAAACAAACAGAACACGGCGCTCATTGGCTTGGAGGGGCACTTTGCACATTTACCAGTTTTATTTGTCAGTTCATGTTGATAACAGATCTCACTGCGGTGGGACTGCAAACTCTTGTGAAGCTCTGACATGGTACATAAGTGCCAATTTAGCAAAAGAAATTCACAGGTCTTCACAAGGTGGCCTGTACAAACTTCCCTGTGTACAATCGGTGCCCCCACCAAGCCGAACTGCCTCCGCAACACTGTAAAAGACCGGGGAGTGAACATACGTAGCTCTGAGTTTTTCGATAGTACCAATAGCAACAAGGCGCCCTTGTGAGAGTATACCGTAACGCTCGCTAATTTGTTCACATTCTTCAATTGACGATGACGTGAAGAAAAATACGCGATTGTTGAACTGTGTGGCATTGATCAAGCGCCAGATGTCGCGGCGAGTCTTAAAAAATTACAGATAGTCGTCCATAACCAGTACAAAGCTACGTTACCGGTTCTAATATCAACTTTACGCGCGTAAAATCGATAACGTTGAAGAATGAGCTACGGGCACTACACAGAGCAGATTCACAAAAGTCAGTGATTTAGTAACGACTGCTGAACACTATATGCTGCTGCATTTATACGTCAGACTTAACAGTAAGCGTTTTACGTAAGAATGGATATCGATCGCAGAAGCGTAAAATCAATTTCAGCAAGAAGTCAGCAGAGCCATTGGGAAGATCCACTTCGCGGCGATATATTAAGCGTGGCGTTGCAGATGGGAGTCATATGCGCGGCACTCGCGCTAGAACCTGAGCAATTTAAGCGAAAAATGCCGCAGCATGTCGAGTCAACTGTATAGGATGACTGCGTAACGCCACGACATGGATCTCCCAATCACCAATAAGCCAGCAGGCTGAAGGAGCTAAATTACTACCAACAATCTTTTGTAAGCCTCCCACAAATAACCACTAACCACAGGATCGACACCTCTGGTTGGTTCGTCCATCACAACTCAACTTGTTACGGGTATATATTATGCGCATTGCAAGAACGCTGATCTGCTCCTTTTCCAAGACTGAAAATCATACTAATTCCTGATTATTCAGAAGCAACATCCACGTCCGTCGTGGTGGGTGGGCAAGAGTAAACTGTACACTTACTGGGCGTTATCCTCAAGCACTTTTTGATTGGAAAACGACGAGTGAGCGCGACTTCGAAGGCCAGAAGGCAATCGGCCACCGACATGCTACCACTCGAGGCATCAAGCGCGTTGTAAGTTAAATGACCTTCAAAGCTTAACAGATAAAAGTACCTCCTACCCATAAAAGAATTCGCGTGGGCTATTAAGAATTTAATAATCAAAGGACAAAGTGTACCGCTTCCTTTGGCTTGGCTTACGGAGGGAAATCGCGCCAGAATACGTGCAAGGAGAAAAAGAAAAAAAATACAGCTACTCAGAGGAATCGTTCCGCTTTTTACTGAATCAACTCTTTTAATTAGAGAGTGTTTCATCTCTGGTTCGCCTAAAACCAGGTCTACGTGAGCAAAGGCAGCTGACGGAAGATGAGTTCGGAGCCAGGCACATTTGTGTTGCCCATATCGTGGCCGACGATAGCTCGAACAAAAAGTTTATTCTAGTGGCTTCGAAGCTCGATTATTTGAGCTCAAGATTATCCAAATGAGATTTGGCATTATGCCAACGCTGCAACTACGGTACAATCTCCTGCTTGGTCAGATCAATCATACCTGCAATTTGATATTGTCCTGTTTGCGTGCAGATTTAGCCCTAGCGCTCCGATCAAAACCTTCACAATTTGGCGTGTGTTGGAATAGCCTGAACGGTCACTGTAAGATTCCAAAGAAAAACCTTCTATATTGACTTTGAACCTACTTTGAACTTGGAGAGGGGGGAGCATACCGGGCGATCCGGATTGCGGCGATGCGACATTGCAAATGGTATCGTCACGTCCGCGGCATTCGCACAGGGATCTAATTGATTTGACATGGAAGTGCTACGGTATGTCATGTAACTGAGAAATTTTAGCTAGTGAGCGTCGTCGCAATATGGATCTCTTGGTCCGCCCAGCGCAGCCGGCAATCGAAGCACAGCACGATGTTTCAGACAGACAAATGCCCCTCCCTGTCCCTTCACCTGATAAAATGGGTATAGAAAATAGGAATAACAGCTACATACCAATCAATCCAGCTATGATCATCAGATTTTGACGACAGGTCAATGGACCGAACAGCGCATTCCTCTCACTACACCAACCAATGTTCTGAAAATATTATCTTTCTCAGCATAGAAATTGCAAAGGAAATGGGCAGGGCGTGCTGCAGGGCCAGGGCACGTCGCACGTAGGGGTTTCTCAGCGAGCAGAGTTATATTTGGTCGATGGAGGGAGGGGTCTTACTTGCCGCCAAGGGAAATGTATTCGGTTTTCGGCTTTTCTCGGTTTTTCCATTTCACGAGCGGAATGTTCATCTTCCCCCCCCCCTTCCTCCCCATCCTCCCGTTCGACGGCAGTTTCTCGATAGGGCCTCCCCGCACGTTAACGGACAAGGAAAGTAATTGAGAATATTTGGAAAAACTTACCCAAAGACTGTACGTGTCCTTGCCATAAAGAACAGCGCTACCATCTGATGGACGCTTCAAACCAGCAAGTAGTTGAAACGCTGTCGTTTTACCAGAACCGCTTACTCCCACTAGCCCAAATTTTCCACCCATATCTATGCCGAAGTTGATTTTTTTAA